GTGTGTCTGTGTGTGTGTGTCTGTGTGTGTGTCTGTGTGTGTGTCTGTGTTTGTGTCTGTGTGTGTGTGTGTCTATGTGTGTGTGTGTCTATGTGTGTGTGTGTCTGTGTGTGTGTCTGTGTGTGTGTCTGTGTTTGTGTGTGTCTGTGTGTGTCTGTGTGTGTGTCTGTGTGTGTGTGTGTCTGTGTGTGTGTGTCTGTGTTTGTGTGTGTGTGTTTGTGTGTGTGTTTGTGTGTGTTTGTGTGTGTGTGTGTCTGTGTGTGTGTGTCTGTGTGTCTGTGTGTGTTTGTGTGTGTGTGTGTCTGTGTGTGTGTGTCTGTGTGTGCGTGTCTGTGTGTGCGTGTCTGTGTGTGTGTGTCTGTGTGTCTGTCTGTGCATGTCTGTCTATGTGTGCGTGCCTGTGTCTGTGTGTGTGTCTGTGTGTCTGCGATGGCTGGGTCATGTAGCCCGCATGCCCAGCCACCGCATGCCGAAACAGCTTTTGTTTGGCCGGATTGAGGGGGCTAAGCGGGCGCGGCACGGGCTAGAGAAGAGATGGAGTGATGTGGTACAGGAGGACGTGGAGCTGAGTGGACTTGCCGATGACCGGTACCAGCGGTGTCAAGATCGGCCTCTGTGGAGGAGGAGGCTCGTGAAGGATGCTACTGGGCAGTTGGAGGCAGTCGCCCTCCAACAACAACGGAGGGCGGAGGAGCGACGCTCACAACAACGAGCGGAGCGTCGGGTGGCTAAAGCACAGTAGGTTGGCACAGTAGGGGGCACAGGTGGTGCATCAGCCAGTCATCTCAGTCAGTCGACCCGTGGCACCTACTGGGTCTGCCCCGTGACCTCCTGCCAGCGGGCGTTCGACACTTCACGTGGCCTCACGGTGCACATAGCCTGGCACAAGCGTCGTGGTGGTGGTGGTGGTGGTGACGTCACCGCCACTTAGCGGCGAATGGCAGCTGTTGTTGTTGTTGTTGTCCCACTCACTGCTTGTAGGAGGCCGAGGGCTTGCTGGAGGTGACGAGCTCCTCGCGTGACGAGGACGACTCGGTCTCCGAGTCGGAGCCGGTGGCGAAGAAACGCGACATCGTGAACCGCGGTTCTGTAACAACATCGTGGTCGTCAATACCAGGCGAGGGAGTCAACATCTCCTTAGCCCACAGCGGCGTTTAGAGTATTTGAGAATCACGACCTCCTGTGTACCAGGGCGAGGTAGTCAACATCTCACCACGTGGAGAGAGACGCAGACTCCAACACAATCACGACCTCCTGTGTACAAGGCGAGGTAGTCAACATCTCACCACGTGGAGAGACGCAGACTCCAACACAATCACGACCTCCTGTGTACCAGGCGAGGTAGTCAACATCTCACCACGTGGAGAGACGCAGACTCAAACACAATCACGACCTCCTGTGTACCAGGCGAGGTAGTCAACATATCCTTTGCCCACAGCGACGTTTAGAGTATTTCATAATCACGACCTCCTGTGTACCAGGTGAGGTAGTCGACATCTCACCACGTGGAGAGAGAGAGACGCAGACTCCAACACAATCACGACCTCCTGTGTACCAGGCGAGGGAGTCAACATCTCTTTAGCCTACAGCGGCGTTTAGAGTATTTGAGAATCACGACCTCCTGTGTACCAGGGCGAGGTAGTCGACATCTCACCACGTGGAGAGAGAGACGCAGACTCCAACACAATCACGACCTCCTGTGTATCAGGCGAGGTAGTCAACATCTCCTTAGCTTACAGCAACGTTTAGAGTATTTGAGAATCACGACCTCCTGTGTATCAGGCGAGGTAGTCAACATCTCCTTAGCCCACAGCGGCGTTTAGAGTATTTGAGAATCACGACCTCCTGTGTACCAGGCGAGGTAGTCAACATCTCACCACGTGGAGAGAGACGCAGACTCCAACACAATCACGACCTCCTGTGTACCAGGCGAGGTAGTCAACATCTCACCACGTGGAGAGAGACGCAGACTCCAACACAATCACGACCTCTTGTGTACCAGGCGAGGTAGTCAACATCTCCTTTGCCCAGTGGCGTTTAGAGTACTTGATAATCACGACCTCCTGTGTATCAGGCGAGGTAGTCAACATCTCCTTAGCCCACAGTGGCGTTTAGAGTATTTCATAATCACGACCTCCTGTGTACCTGGCGAGGTAGTCAACATCTCACCACGTAGAGAGACACAGACTCCAACACAATCACGACCTCCTGTGTACCAGGCGAGGTAGTCAACATCTCGTTTGCCCACAGCGCCGTTTAGAGTATTTGAGAATAACGACCTCCTGTGTATCAGGCGAGGTAGTCAACATCTCCTTAAACCACAGTGGCGTTTAGAGTATTTCATAATCACGACCTCCTGTGTACCAGGCGAGGTAGTCAACATCTCACCACGTGGAGAGATAGAGACACAGACTCCATCACAATCACGACCTCCTGTGTACCAGGCGAGGTAGTCAACATCTCCTTTGCCCACAGCGGCGTTTAGAGTATTTGAGAATCACGACCTCCTGTGTACCAGGCGAGGTAGTCAACATCTCCTTAGCTTACAGCGACGTTTAGAGTATTTGATAATCACGACCTCCTGTGTACCAGGCGAGGTAGTCAACATCTCACCACGTGGAGAGAGAGACTCAGACTCCAACACAATCACGACCTCCTGTGTATCAGGCGAGGTAGTCAACATCTCCTTAGCCCACAGTGGCGTTTAGAGTATTTCATAATCACGACCTCCTGTGTATCAGGCGAGGTAGTCAACATCTCCTTTGCCCACAGCGGCGTTTAGAGTATTTCACAATCACGACCTCCTGTGTACCAGGCGAGGTAGTCAACATCTCCTTTGCCCACAGCGGCGTTTAGAGTATTTCACAATCACGACCTCCTGTGTACCAGGCGAGGTAGTCAACATCTCCTTTGCCCACAGCGACGTTTAGAATATTTGAGAATCACGACCTCCTGTGTAGCAGGCGAGGTAGTCAACATCTCACCACGTGGAGAGAGAGACGCAGACTCCAACACAATCACGACCTCCTGTGTACCAGGCGAGGTAGTCAACATCTCCTTAGCCCACAGTGGCGTTTAGAGTATTTCATAATCACGACCTCCTGTGCACCTGGCGAGATAGTCAACATCTCACCACGTAGAGAGACACAGACTCCAACATAATCACGACCTCCTGTGTACCAGGCGAGGTAGTCAACATCTCCTTTGCCCACAGCGGCGTTTAGAGTATTTCACAATCACGACCTCCTGTGTACCAGGCGAGGTAGTCAACATCTCCTTTGCCCACAGCGGCGTTTAGAGTATTTCACAATCACGACCTCCTGTGTACCAGGCGAGGTAGTCAACATCTCACCACGTGGAGAGATAGAGACACAGACTCCATCACAATCACGACCTCCTGTGTACCAGGCGAGGTAGTCAACATCTCCTTAACCCACAGTGGCGTTTAGAGTATTTCATAATCACGACCTCCTGTGTATCAGGCGAGGTAGTCAACATCTCCTTTGCCCACAGCGGCGTTTAGAGTATTTCACAATCACGACCTCCTGTGTACCAGGCGAGGTAGTCAACATCTCCTTAGCTTACAGCGGCATTTTAAGAATATTTCCTAATGAAAGCCCGCCAGAGACTGTAAATTAATCTTATTTACAAGCAAATTGGCGGTGCAACTGTCACCGACCGCCCTATTGTAATGTTGTAGTTTGTTTGTTTGTTGTTGTTCGCCGATAGATTTGTTGCTGTTATTTTGTTTGAGAAATTCGCTACGGAACACGCAAAGTTTACCTCAACGGCCACGTGAGTTTCGAGCGGCCTAGAAACACAGTAAAAAAAAACCCAACGAAACCCCAACATCCACAGCAAATGTTTTTTTTTGTTTGGTTTAACAGCTGCCAACTCGACAGCGTTGGACACAAAAAGAAAGCGATACGATGAGAACAAGTGTGCAATTGTAAGCATTTAATTATCGTTAAGTTTATATCGTAGGCCGAGCGGCGAGGCCTATACAGGCCTAGGGTCAGGAGGCGGTTGGGCAATCCGTAGCGTGTTATTTTTTATTTTTTTTAAATAAACCAATTGCTTCCAAACTCGTTCTAGCACTCGATTGCGTTGGGATTTGTGAGGAGGAGGAGGGGTTGTTGTTGTTTGTTTTTATTAGTCGCGGAATTAAATTAAATAGCTATTTTATTACTTAGCTTGCGAGAGACCCAAACCCACCTTGGCCTAGTCGACGCGGCCTAAAGCCTCGGGCTTTCTAGGCCTTTCCTGGAAACCTCGCGGCGGCGGCGGCGGCGCCGGGCACCGCCGCCGCGGCGAGGTTTTGTTCACTATCGTTTTGTTCGTCGATTGAGAGGTGAGCAAAGGGGGGTAGGGGGTGGTGAGGCAAAAGGGTGAGGAAGGATGGTGAGGAAGGATGGTGAGGAAGGAGGGGGGAGTGAGGGATGGGACTCACAGCACCCGGCGGTGGTGGCGGTGGTGGTGGCGACCTCTTGAATCGCTCCCCTCACAGATGAATGAGGCGGTGGGGGAGGGGGGGGGCGGGGGGAGGTGAGGGGCGGGGTTTAAGTTGGGGGAGGGGGAGGGACCCGGAGGGAGGGGGCGGGGTTTAAGTTGGGGGAGGGGAGGGACCCGGGGGGGCGGGGTTGAAGTGGGGGAGGGACCCGGGAGGGGGCGGGGTTGAAGTGGGGGGGGAGGGACCCGGGAGGGGGCGGGGTTTAAGTTGGGGGAGGGGAGGGACCCGGGGGGAGGGGCGAGGTTGAAGTGGGGGGAGGGACCCGGGAGGGGGCGGGTTTGACCCGGGAGGGGGCGGGGTTTAAGTTGGGGGAGGGACCCGGAGGGAGGGGGCGAGGTTGAAGTTGGGGGAGGGGAGGGACCCGGGGGGGCGGGGTTGAAGGGGGGGAGGGACCCGGGAGGGGGCGGGGTTGAAGTGGGGGGGGAGGGACCCGGGAGGGGGCGGGGTTTAAGTTGGGGGAGGGGAGGGACCCGGGGGGAGGGGCGAGGTTGAAGTGGGGGGAGGGACCCGGGAGGGGGCGGGTTTGACCCGGGAGGGGGCGGGGTTTAAGTTGGGGGAGGGACCCGGAGGGAGGGGGCGAGGTTGAAGTTGGGGGAGGGACCCGGGGAGGGGGCGGGGTTGAAGTGGGGGGGAGGGACCCGGGGGGGGCGGGGTTGAAGTGGGGGGGGAGGGACCAGAAGGGGGCGGGGTTGAAGTGGGGGGGGAGGGACCCGGGGGGGGGGGCGGGGTTAAAGTGGGGGAGAGGGACCCGGGAGGGGGGCGGGGTTGAAGTGGGGGGGAGGGACCAGAAGGGGGCGGGGTTTGAAGTGGGGGGGGAGGGACCCGGGGGGGGGCGGGGTTAAAGTGGGGGAGAGGGACCCGGGGGGGGCGGGGTTGAAGTGGGGGGGAGGGACCTGGGGGCGGGGTTGAAGTGGGGGGAGGGACCCCGGGGGGAGGGGGCGGGGTTGAAGCAGGGGGGGGAGGGACCCGGGAGGGGACGGGGTTGAAGTGGGGGGGAGGGACCAGAAGGGGGGGGCGGGGTTGAAGTGGGGGGGGGGAGGGACCTGGGGGCGGGGTTTTAAGTGGGGGGAGGGACCCGGGGGGGGGGGCGGGGTTTAAGTGGGGGGAGGGACCCGGGGGGGGGCGGGGTTGAAGTAGGGGGGGGACCAGAAGGGGGCGGGGTTTAGGTGGGGGGAGGGACCCGGGGGGGGGCGGGGTTGAAGTGGGGGGGGGAGGGACCGGGGGGGCGGGGTTGAAGTGGGGGGAGGGACCCAGGGGGGGCGGGGTTAAAGTGGGGGGGGGAGGGACCCGCGAGGGGGCGGGGTTGTGGTGTGGAGGGATTGGAGGCGGTGGTGGGGGGGTGGTCACGTGGGGTGATGGGAGGGGTGGAGTGGTCACGTGCTCGCAGAACTGATGGGGGAATTTGGACGACCTAGCAAAGCGCTTTGCTCACGCCACTGCAGTGGGTTGTGTGGACACGGGTTGTGGTGTGGACACGGGTTGTGGTGTGGACACGGGTTGTGGTGTGGACACGGGTTGTGGTGTGGACACGGGTTGTGGTGTGGACACGGGTTGTGGTGTGGAGACGGGTTGTGGTGTGGACACGGGTTGTGGTGTGGAGACGGGTTGTGGTGTGGACACGGGTTGTGGTGTGGACACGGGTTGTGGTGTGGACACGGGTTGTGGTGTGGAGACGGGTTGTGGTGTGGACACGGGTTGTGGTGTGGACACGGGTTGTGGTGTGGACACGGGTTGTGGTGTGGACACGGGTTGTGTTGTGGAGACGGGTTGTGGTGTGGACACGGGTTGTGTTGTGGACACGGGTTGTGGTGTGGACACGGGTTGTGGTGTGGACACGGGTTGTGGTGTGGACACGGGTTGTGGTGTGGAGGAGACGGGTTGTGGTGTGGACACGGGTTGTGGTGTGGACACGGGTTGTGGTGTGGAGACGGGTTGTGGTGTGGACACGGGTTGTGGTGTGGACACGGGTTGTGTTGTGGACACGGGTTGTGGTGTGGAGACGGGTTGTGGTGTGGACACGGGTTGTGGTGTGGAGGAGACGGGTTGTGATGTGGACACGGGTTGTGGTGTGGACACGGGTTGTGGTGTGGACACGGGTTGTGGTGTGGACACGGGTTGTGGTGTGGACACGGGTTGTGGTGTGGAGACGGGTTGTGGTGTGGACACGGGTTGTGGTGTGGACACGGGTTGTGGTGTGGACACGGGTTGTGGTGTGGACACGGGTTGTGGTGTGGACACGGGTTGTGGTGTGGACACGGGTTGTGGTGTGGACACGGGTTGTGGTGTGGAGGAGACGGGTTGTGGTGTGGACACGGGTTGTGGTGTGGAGACGGGTTGTGGTGTGGACACGGGTTGTGGTGTGGACACGGGTTGTGGTGTGGACACGGGTTGTGGTGTGGACACGGGTTGTGGTGTGGAGGAGACGGGTTGTGGTGTGGACACGGGTTGTGGTGTGGACACGGGTTGTGGTGTGGACACGGGTTGTGGTGTGGAGGAGACGGGTTGTGGTGTGGACACGGGTTGTGGTGTGGACACGGGTTGTGGTGTGGACACGGGTTGTGGTGTGGACACGGGTTGTGGGGTGGACACGGGTTGTGTTGTGGAGACGGGTTGTGGTGTGGACACGGGTTGTGGTGTGGAGGAGACGGGTTGTGGTGTGGACACGGGTTGTGGTGTGGACACGGGTTGTGGTGTGGACACGGGTTGTGGTGTGGACACGGGTTGTGTTGTGGACACGGGTTGTGGTGTGGACACGGGTTGTGGTGTGGAGGAGACGGGTTGTGGTGTGGACACGGGTTGTGGTGTGGACACGGGTTGTGGTGTGGACACGGGTTGTGGTGTGGAGACGGGTTGTGGTGTGGACACGGGTTGTGGTGTGGACACGGGTTGTGGTGTGGAGACGGGTTGTGGTGTGGACACGGGTTGTGGTGTGGACACGGGTTGTGGTGTGGAGACGGGTTGTGGTGTGGACACGGGTTGTGGTGTGGAGACGGGTTGTGGTGTGGACACGGGTTGTGGTGTGGACACGGGTTGTGGTGTGGACACGGGTTGTGGTGTGGACACGGGTTGTGGTGTGGAGACGGGTTGTGGTGTGGAGGAGACGGGTTGTGGTGTGGACACGGGTTGTGGTGTGGACACGGGTTGTGGTGTGGACACGGGTTGTGGTGTGGACACGGGTTGTGGTGTGGACACGGTTGTGGTGTGGACACGGGTTGTGGTGTGGAGACGGGTTGTGGTGTGGACACGGGTTGTGGTGTGGACACGGGTTGTGGTGTGGACACGGGTTGTGTTGTGGACACGGGTTGTGGTGTGGAGGAGACGGGTTGTGGTGTGGAGGAGACGGGTTGTGGTGTGGACACGGGTTGTGGTGTGGACACGGGTTGTGGTGTGGACACGGGTTGTGGTGTGGACACGGGTTGTGGTGTGGACACGGGTTGTTGTGTGGAGACGGGTTGTGGTGTGGACACGGGTTGTGATGTGGAGACGGGTTGTGGTGTGGACACGGGTTGTGGTGTGGACACGGGTTGTGGTGTGGAGACGGGTTGTGGTGTGGACACGGGTTGTGGTGTGGACACGGGTTGTGGTGTGGACACGGGTTGTGGTGTGGAGGAGACGGGTTGTGGTGTGGACACGGGTTGTGGTGTGGACACGGGTTGTGGTGTGGACACGGGTTGTGGTGTGGACACGGGTTGTGGTGTGGAGACGGGTTGTGTTGTGGACACGGGTTGTGGTGTGGACACGGGTTGTGGTGTGGAGACGGGTTGTGGTGTGGACACGGGTTGTGGTGTGGACACGGGTTGTGGTGTGGAGGAGACGGGTTGTGGTGTGGACACGGGTTGTGGTGTGGACACGGGTTGTGGTGTGGACACGGGTTGTGGTGTGGACACGGGTTGTGGTGTGGACACGGGTTGTGGTGTGGAGGAGACGGGTTGTGGTGTGGAGACGGGTTGTGGTGTGGACACGGGTTGTGGTGTGGACACGGGTTGTGTTGTGGAGACGGGTTGTGGTGTGGACACGGGTTGTGGTGTGGACACGGGTTGTGGTGTGGACACGGGTTGTGGTGTGGAGACGGGTTGTGGTGTGGACACGGGTTGTGGTGTGGACACGGGTTGTGGTGTGGACACGGGTTGTGGTGTGGACACGGGTTGTGGTGTGGACACGGGTTGTGGTGTGGACACGGGTTGTGGTGTGGAGACGGAGTCCTCTTAGGAGGCAACTTGACAGCAACACGGAAGGTCCACAGGTACGAAGGGGCAGCTGCCCCCTCCTAACCAACACCCTAAGGAGGCAGAGCGACCGCGATAAGGTGCCACTGGGACCAGCCACTGTCAGCCCCCTCGGAGAGCGAGGCCGAGGAGAGACTGACCCGACCCGGCCAAGGTCCTCAGGTCTACGACCGCCGGTCTCGCTCAGCTCTGGGGGGGCCTGGCAGGGACTCCGGGTCCCGAGGATCTTCATGGTCCCAGGCTTCTGGTCTCACTCAGCTCCGGTCCTGGTAACCAATCCGGGTCCCGGAGATCTTCATGGTCCCAGCCTTCTGCCCGCTGGTCTCACTCAGCTCCGGTCCTGGCAAGGACTCCGGGTCCTGGGGATCTTCATGGTCCCAGCCTTCTGGTCTCGCTCAGCTCGGGGGGCCTGGCGAGGACTCCGGGTCCCGGGGATCTTCAGGGTCTCAGCCTTCTGGTCTCACTCAGCTCCAGCCCTTTGAAGGACTCCGAGACCGGAGATCTTCATGGTCCCAGCCTTCTGCCCGCTGGTCTCACTCAGCTCCGGTCCTGGCGAGGACTCCGGGACCGGAGATCTTCATGGTCCCAGCCTTCTGGTCTCGCTCAGCTCGGGGGGCCTGGCGAGGACTCCGGGTCCCGAGGATCTTCATGGTTCCAGCCTTCTGGTCTCACTCAGCTCCAGCCCTTTGAAGGACTCCGAGACCGGAGATCTTCATGGTCCCAGCCTTCTGGTCTCACTCAGCTCCAGTCCTAGCAAGGACTCGGGGTCCCGAGGATCTTCAGAGTCCCAGCCTTCTGGTCT